CGTTCCATGCATTAAACTATTTTTTATTTTTTTTTTTTTGCTCGTACCGGCGACGTGCAAATAGCACTCGAGTTCAAAATAGGTTTTCGTCGAACATCCCCACTATGCACGATGCACGTGCGATGTGTACTTACATATTTTATTCTTCTATCTATTTGCTGATATTCTGATGTACCTATTGTACACAGTAAGAAATAAAAGGTTGTAAATTATACATATAAACATATTCGCGCGTCGCCCGACGATCCCTATCGGCTTGTGCTGCAGTAAAACGGGCGTTACATTTATTATAAATCATACGGCGATATACATATATATATATAAACGTATCAGTTGCCGCAGTTTACACGGATTCAAACGTGGAGACATTATGGTATAGGTATAGTTGGTTACTCGGTACTAGGTATTTGCGGTTACGTTTGCGTCCGCGTTCGATACACGCGATAGTTTACGACCACGACTTGGCGTATGTAATATGTTATAATTTTTTTGCTACGCGTCGCGGGGTCGATCGTATGATATAAATCCATCCGTACTACGACGAAAAAACCGACTCTGCGCACTAAGCACCGCATGAATATGATGTACACGATTACAATGTTTTATACATCCGCGTATGACTGTATATGTTTTCTGCGGAAGAATTTTTTTCCGTTTTTACAAAACCATGGCATTTTCATTACGAACAGTTTCGTTTTATCGAATTCATTTTACACTATTATTTCGTAACCATGTAAGAATTTCGATTTTTAATACAAAGCTTTCCACAGCACGGAAGAATAAAATTTCGGAGGAACAAGCGGCTTTCGACATTAATTGTCTTGAGTTTTATTATATAGGTACGTGTAAATAAGTGAAAAAAATCAAAAAAATCCGTAATTTCCGGTTAACGAATTGTTTTCCGACGAACCGTCAAGTTCGTTAATTATAGGTTCGACCGTACATGTAATACTTAATTGGTATACACACACACACACACACACACACATTATCTACATAAAGGTATTTAACGTGTGTATGCGCATACTATACGCATTATCCGTATATATATTATATACTCGTATTTAGCGGTACGCGGCGGTTGCTCTCAATAAAATATAATAATATTTGTTTTCAACACACGATTTTTTTTGATTTTTATTATTATACTCCGACCGCCGTAATAAACTATGTTTTTGTATGTTATTTTTTTCTTTTTAATTAGAGTGCTTACCGCATACACAGACACACACGCGCAATCACATTATTTGCATGTATCGCCGCCGCGCGTAACACATATATAACATATTATGCAGGGGCAGTACCAACGATTTAATACGATCGGTTTCCTTTCCGTGGCACGAAATAATTATAATTATTAAAATAAACATGTCGATATCGCTACAATATACAAACTTGCATATTATTGTAACGTACGCAATATGCATGTGTATATGTATTTATAATAGACCGTCGAACGGCTGTTGCGCGCGGATTTACGGACGATCGCGTCCGCGACTCGTTCGGGGGGGGCACGACTGCCGGACGTTTAACGGATTCGTCTGTCAGCGCAATGGCCCAGAAACACGCGAACGGTTCGTTAAGGACTTATCTTACGGTAGTAAAGAATAAATTAAAAAAAAAAAAAAAAAAAAAAAAAAACATAAATATTTCAACATAACGTACGTAGTAATACGCTGCAACCGGCGTGTAGATACGGTATAACAGCAATAGTATACAATTATGCTTTGTGCGCACGCGGGTTTACCCCGACCCCCGGTCTGCAGCGGATCGCGATGTCAATCCGAATCGATAAATCGAAAAAAATCCAGAAGGCAAATCGGATGGTCGTCAGTTGCCGAAATCGCGACGAGCGTCATCCTTTACGGAGCACGTCGCTGCGGTGGTCATCGCATAAACGGTAGAGTTGCATTCGATCCTACCGTGCCCGTACCAACATTTCCTACACCTACTGTTGTTGTATCTACTATTGTTGGTCGACCCTTGAGTCATTGAATCTACGATATAAAAAATTGAGAGACACTTGTAATATATGAGAATATTCTTGGTGAATGATTATAAAATCTTTATCTATAACACTCGTCGATAAGATATTAGGTGTTTGTGGTCCGCGCAAAAATATGCGCGTTAAAAACAACGTTTATACGACGCCGTACCAGATTGTGGTCGACCATCGTTATGACCATAGTTTAAATCGTTTAAATATTGAAGTGGATCGCCATGTATGACAGTGCGTATAATTTTATTTACAAAATCTAACTGCGTATAAGCGTATCGATTTCGGTCGTGCATCTTTATAGCTACTATGAATATGTGGATGAAAATTAAAAATCAACGGACTCTGTTGAATGTTTAAAAATAACCAAACGAAAAAGAACAAATCAAAATTATTTTCAAAAGCGTAATGTCGGTACGCGCTACATGTAAAATACCCCCACGTTACGACGCCAAACGCAGAATATTTATTAATAAGTCAAAAAAAAAAAAAAAAAAAAACACTTTGTATCAATGATATTTTTGTGGAGAGGGAAAAAAATTCATCAAATTTCACACGCTTTTTCCAAAACTTTTGGTACGACCATTTAAATTTGTTGAGTAAATTTGAATGTCTCTTGATAACTTTTTTTATACTTTACATAAAATCAAATTTTTATTGGAAGAACTATCGAATTTTAGATAATGCATTATACCTGAGGAAAAGTTATAGCAATGTTATAGGTGCGTTGGTATGAATAGCATAATGTATAATTGGTATAAATTTAAATTACTTAGATAAATATTGACCGATAAAATTGAATTTCATACTTTTATTTCATAGTTGGCCGATGCCGAGTCTAGTCTGGTTCAAATTCCGGCGACGCGATCAAACGCAGAATTCTACGTACGCGCATTTTGACTCGCAGCTGACTAGAGTTTTTGACCGTATGATCGATTTTAAAAACAAGTTTAGTTTAGTTACATCTAGTATTTACTTTGGAACGTTTGACACGTACCGTGTATCCGTGCAAGTTATTTTAAAAATTAACTAAATAGAACTAATATTAACTTTAAACCTACTTTCACAGGAAGTAGACGAAGAGCGAGAAACAGTAAATTACGTACAAACTAACGCTGAAAACAAAGCGCATGAAATGTTCTTAGCCAGGAATACTGAAGGCTTTTTCATTGTCCTGATCGAAAAACATTAAATGGCAACGTGAAACCAAATCCAAGGAATTTTTTAGATTGAACATCGATTCGATTGTATATTAAAACTAGCCGAGGATTATACATTCTGCCAAGACAGCGTGTTCTTCCGATGAAAATGAAACTTCTCAAAAAAAACTTAACGGTGAAAAAAAGCCAAGTTCCAAACTCCCTCTCAAAAAAGTGAACACTTTTAACACTAACACTTCGAGATGTAGTGGCACAGAAAAAAGACGAGCTCGACTATTACCAACGACAATTGGCCATAAACGAACATAAATATTTGTCAGATGTCAACAATTTACAATTACAATTGCAGTCTTCGGAGAAAATATACAATTCTGTCAAACATGAGAAGGAAGCAGCATTCATGTTTTTAAAGAAAAAGAAATACTAGATTTTAATACAGAAAAAAAAATTATCAGACACCTTGAAAGAAAGAGACAAACAGATTGTACGCTTGAAAGCCACTAAAGAGGTTGCTATTTGTACGAGCATCATTGAAACAAAAAATAAAGAAATAAAGGAGTATAAGCTTTTGATTGACTTGTTAAAAGATGAAAAGGTAAAAATTTCCAGATTTAGATCACTGGAAAACTAAATATGAACATGAGACTAAGTGTTCATTTGAAACAGAATGTAAACTATTACAAGAAATTCAAGAATTACAAAATAAATTAGAATCTTCAACTAAAGAAAATGAATCATATAATGAAGAAAGTAATTTGAAAAAAATAATACAGATAGTAAATCATTACTAAATTTAAAAGAATTCTCTGAATATCAATTACAGGAAGAAGAAAAACTAAAAACTGTAATCGAAGAATTGAATCATAAACTTACTGAGTGCCTGAGTACTGTCAATTCATTAGAAAATAAAAATATTGATCTTCAAACTCATATGGAAAGTTGTGAAATCAAGACCAATGAATTGTTTGTATTCACGAAATGCTTCTCTACAGTCGGATAGTAAAAATCTACAAACATATTTAGATAAATTAAAATAAGAATATGATATATTAAAGTAAAAAAATATTGATCTCAAGACTGCTTTTGAAATTCAAAAAGATTCAATAACTAAAGAAAAAGAAATTTATGACTGTGACAAAAAAGAGTTAGCTAGCCATTTGATACAGAAAATGCAAATGATTGCTGATTTAAAATCTACATTGTAGCAAGCTCAAAGATGATTTATATGTTATTAAACGAAAGTTTAAATCTACTGTAGCTGAGTTGACTAAAGAGTTACAGAAAAAAAATGTGATCGACACTTCAGTCGAAATGAAATTAGTATTAGATAAGATGATGAAACTTCAACAAGAAAATGCTAGGCTTAGTGAAAAGCTAGATTTTATTGAAGATCACAACAAACATTAAGTATGCGAACTAAAAAAAAATAGTAGTATTATGCATAAACATGGAATATATAATGGTAAGAATGGTGTGAGCAAAAAACAAAACGATACTAACATGTTAACTTGCACTATTAATTGGATTTAACGCTTTTATTCATTTATTTATTATTAATTGTTCTTATAATTCTTTATGAAAAAATAAAAAATGTATCGAGTCCACTCATGTCACTAATTATCTTCGGTGTAATTATTGAGAATTTATGAAATAAATTTAAATAACTAATTTAAGTGAACTTTTTAACTGTTTTTTAACTAATTGTATTTACATTATACTAAAATGTTAATATTTGATTCATAAAAATAACAGATTATTATACAGCTCATGTAAAAATATACATTTTATACTCAGCAAATAATTATTTTATAATTTTATAACAACATGTATAGAATAGTTCGCAATTTATGACTTATGTTTATACAATTGAAAAATGAATTGTTAACGTCCGTATTGTCTTTATTGAACGCTTGATGAAGTGTGATGGGGTTTTTGAGGATCTTGTGGGCTTCCGTATATTTGGTGCAATTTAACATCATTGCAAGTTTCACATACTGGGATTGGTTCTTTTCTTATAAGGTAAGCAATGTTAAATGTTATTGGCCTATTCGACCATATATTGTACCATGTTCATCGTCGTCGTCGTCTCTTCTTAACTTCCACGGCAGGTGGTATTGAAGGAAGCACTTAAATTATTTAAAAAACATAAGCATTGTACAGAATGTAAAAGAAATATATAACAAAATAATAAATGATAAGTAAATTAGTCAGAAATGCTTATTAGATGGTCTACAGATAAAATAAGATATCAGACACAAGGAAAATGAAATATTATCATAAAGTGCATACCATCTTTAGCAGATCTTTTAGCACCACCAGTAATATTCTGATTCATGATAATATAATTGTCCAAAGTTATACATTTGGAAGTGAATTTAAATTTAGCTTTACAAACAGGACACGATTTAAATTTCTGCATCCTTTTCATAATACACATTTCACAAAAGGTATGGTCGCAATTTAGAACCGTAGCCTGAAAAAATAAAATAAGTTATAATATCAAGTAAAGAATAAAAATTAAAAATTGTTTACCTTGCACAATAATTTACTGCAAATTGAACATTGAAGTTCATTTTCGAACTGAGAATGGATTTGTTGTTTCAATAATTCAGGTGCACCCACATCATATAATTCATCTAAAATTTTTATTGAAATAAATTAATCATCAATTACATTTTAATCACAAGTATAAGATATAAGAAATATATAAAACAACATACTCTCTAATTTCGCCTTTAGTGTAGGAATTTCGTTGGTCATTTTTTGAATTACATCATGTCCCTTAGAGATAATGGTATACAAATTAAAATACAAATATAATCATAAAATTTTTTTCATAATATATGATGAAATATAAGACGAGGAATAAGAAAAATACGATTGAAAAAAAACATTGATTACTACTTACTTTTTTAGTTTGTATACTTTTAATTTTCATGCTGTCGTTCATCATATTTTGCAATTCAACTAATTCAGTTTTAACTTTATCACGTAATACTGTATGGTCAACTTTTAACTATAATCGAACAACAATAATAATGATTATTTTAACATTGTGATATTTAAAATATTATTAGTAATTTCTAACAAAATTATAGTTAATAAAGTTAAACTTACATTCAATATTACCTCATGAAGGTCTTTTATGTTCTTTTCAAACATTTCTTCTTCAGTATGAACTCCAATACCATGTTTATTGTATAATCTAAATATTAAACAGATATATTTATGAAGTTAATAGAAATAAAAAATATATTTAAAATTATTAAAAGAATAAAAGTAGCAATAAATTTAATTCTTGTTTTAGTGTTCAATTAACAGAACAACGATAATCTTTATTATTAAATGGTTCGATTGTACACACATATGTAGTAAATAGAAGACTAATATTATACTTGTTTAAAAAAATATTTCTGACCTAAAATAAAAATATTAGCACTAAATACAAAAAAAAAAAAAAATTAATATTGTATTAAGAATAGTTTTAATTTTCTAATTTCCTGTTATTTAAACATAAATGTTCCTTTTAAATATTTTTTATTTAATTACATTACTATTCTAAATCGATTTTATTTACCTTGGTTTTTTGTTTTTTTTTGAGATATTGTTTAAGGTAAATTTGAATGTTCTAGTAATCTTGCTTTTATGACCGAAGCCAATAAGATCTCCATGTCGTAATTCTGTAATATTACTCGTACTTGAAAGTCTTTTACAATTTAGGAAAGTACCAGAGCATGACTGCTATTTTTTGATTTATATAAAAAAGGAAATAATTGTAAGGATTAAATTCAAAAACATAAATTACATAATTCTAATACAATATAGGTTTTAATTCATATAAAACTAATTATTTTACTAAAAACAATTTTCAATAATATAAAAATTAAAAATCATGAAGTTAATGAAATGAAATTAAAATATAAACTAATTAATACAATATATTATTAAATGTTTAAACAATTTATTAAAAATTATTTTATATTTTTCATTGTATTATACAAGTCTTATATCCTAGACCAGGAATTCTCAAACTTTTATTAACACTGTACCCCTTTTGACCAATAAACTTTTTATGTACCTCTTCTTAGTTAGTAAACTAAAATATATATAAAAAATTTAGACACACCCATAATGCAAAATAAAAAATAAAAAGACCACCACAATGGTTATTTTTACTAATTATATGTATAAATAATACGACTTATGGTGAAGGGGGCATGGCCCATTCCTCTAATAGCTACGACACTGCATAGTTTAGTAAAATATGCTGCAACCGACACTATATACTTTTATAATGATAACTAACAAAAATATCTATTTCATTTTATTAAATTAGCTTATTAATTCACTTACTAAGTCGGATACGAAATAACAGTTATTTTCATATCTGATAGAACAGTGACGACGAGATATGAAGAACTCTTCCATGATGACCGAAGAGGTAAGAGCGCGTCCAATGATAAACTGTAGACATAAATATTAATGTCAGTTATTAGTCTTATAGGTATAGAATTAGAAGATTATATATTAGACAATATCAACTTATAGCCACCATCCAGTCAATCACACAGAGGAGCAGGTGCTAAGGGAGCACTAAAATTTCAACTGTGACACAGTCACACGACCAATAGGATAGTACCAATATTAGTTAAACGTACTTCTGAGTCCTGGTTGATCGGAATCATCCGACCAGTCGCTACGTCCATTAAAGATGCTTCCGTTGAACAATCTTCGCAGATGGGACGTTTAGAAGACCGCACCTCATTCTTCATATCTTTTAACAGAATACTTGATGAGCGATGCGCAACATTAAGATAAACAGTATTTTTCTAACCGTATACGGTCATTTTCGAGCGATCGGTCATAAAAGGCAGAACGAAAAATGCCATTCAAACACGAAGAACGTTTTTGCGAATTACCGTTACGCTCGGTAGCGATACGATCGCGTAGTAGTGTGTTTGACAAGAAGTTACGTATTGTTTAATCTTACTTGTTACTATTGATGACAAACGGCTAACCATAATTTGAACAGGTAGAAAGCGTAGAGTAATATTACTCTTTGGTAAAAAGGGTCAACGACAAGATATCTACTGTTAAATAATTTTGAAAACTTACCAAGCTGTTCTCCCCTTGATGGATACATCGATAGTATATGATTATCTATGTAGATAGATCAATCAAAATAATCAGAACTGTGAAAAACTAATGAAAAATTAATACTCTGTTTTAGACGGATATAATGTTTATACCAATGCAATAGAAAACACTGATGTAACAATCAATTACTATATTATATTTGTAGTATAAACACCGTTGTCATCTCATCTCTTAGTTACATAATTCCTAAATTTATTTTTAATTTTATTTAAGCCGTAAAACTTGTTACGTTGTTACGTACGGTTTTAATAATACAAAATTATATATTTTATATTATGCACAACGTTTAATTTCCATGTGTAGTAGGGGTATAGTCCATATGTACTTATAGGTTTTTACGAGCTATTTACGATTTTATACGAAATTTTCTTAAGTGTTTTCCCTCTGAATCCACATTATGGATGGTAATGGCATAAGCTAAGCAAATGGGAAATTGATGTCGGTGCACATAAGCTCGGCTGATGATTTCAAACTTAACTTACAATTCCATTCAATTCATAAGATCATTCAACTTTTCAACAATGGTTTCTTATGACGTTAGCACGTAAAATTATCGTCCGTATACCAATGAATATCATTAAAATATTCTGTATTTGGATAGTTATATTACATTTTGTATTTGAATAAAATAAATTTACGAAAACAATGGAATTGATTTTGAAAAGAATTCAATTTTTAGATTTTTCCCTTTGGTTACACGGTAAAACCTATTTCTATGCTAAATTTTTACCTATACGGGAAGCGTCTTAAAATTCTGATGATCAGGTAGTGAGTGAGTCAGTAACAAAATCGCAAATTTTGAAATTCTCCCATTTTGAAACTGTACAATATTAAGGGCTCATTTTCTTACTGCGTCCTAAGCTACTAGAGGTCAATGTTTGTTTTAAATTTCAAAAGTTTACCTTAAGAGTAAACAGACATTTTCGGGTTAGAATAACAGGGCGAATCGGTTAGGCCTAACTCTGGCATTGCTGAAACATGGCCGGCGCACTGCCGCGCGCTCAGACTTTCGACGTTTTCGTCGAGCTTCAGGTTCTCGGGTCGCGCGACTTGCGATCATGGTCGCGTTCCAAACCAAGCGAAGCAGTGACGCGAGATCGAAGTCCAATGGAGCCTCGTCACCGTACGAACGCGGCCGGTCGGTGACAACCGTTTCGCGCGGGCCGCGGTTCGCTCGCGGCCTAGACGAAATGTTCGGCTGCAACGCGCTGACGGTACGGCGTACCGCAACGGTAAAGATGAACGCACTCCGTTCCCGGTGGCCCTGGCTTGCGGATCCATAAACACCGGTGAGCCGTAAACATTTCGGCGTTTCGAGCGGTTGGTCGGCGGCGGCGGTGGGCCCAACACCCGTTGTCCGAACTAATTGACATTACGATGCGGTTGAATCGTAAATCTAATACACCCACAGCGAGTTGGAGTGAGTGAGACCGATCAGAGGAGGAGTGGTAGGAGAAAAAGATGAAAAAAAATCGCAAAATAATGAAGACAAACAGCGTCCGTGCGCCGGCGGTCCGGTGCGCGTTGGTGGCGTTCGCGTGACCCAAGACCACACGTTACCGAGGAGAATCGACGGGCAGGATGGCTCGCGCGGACGGTCGGCTATTACATCTCTTCGCTCGTCGCGTCTAGTGCGCCCGCACCGAAACGATAACCGTAAAAACGGTACCGGAGAAACCTACCCCCTCCCCCACCCACACACACACACACACACACACCACCCTCTATGCCGGACGACCGTGCGCGATGTGTACACGCGCTGAAACGCGATGGGCGAGTCCGTTTTCGACCAAAACCGTACTCTTCCCTTTCGACCTATTCACTTTTCGACCAAATTTAAAATAGGCCGATTCCTTTTTCGACCGAAACAAAAATGCGTGTAATACATTTAAAATAATAAAATTATGATGTACAATGTTCGATTATGATGGAAACTACTATAAATATATTAATGACGGTTCAAGGTTTTACTCGCGTAGCGAGGTTTTAGGTTCACATACAGAGCATAATCCCATTTGCAACAGTATCAAGGTTTGTATAAAAACTAGGTTAGGATTAGACTATAATTTCCCATCCCCCTAAAAATGCCCACGCAGTGGCACTCGAGTCGGTGAGTGGATCCGGCAGGTGAAACGAGCGAAGACCTAAAGTTTTTAAAATTAAAATTCCGATTTTTCGAAAAAAAAGTTCAAAACAATTTACAATACCATAAGAGATCAAAATTAGATAAAAAATGTCGTTCCCTTTTATATTAATATTTTAATAACTGTTGACAAAATTGTACATAATTATTTTATTATTTTAAATTTATTACATACATTTTTGTTTTGGTCGAAAAGGGAATCGGCCTATTTTAAATTTGGTCGAAAAGTGAATCGGCCGAAAAGGGAAGGGTACGTTTTTGGTCGAAAACGGCCATGCCCAACGCAATAATAATTATAAAATTATAGTTCGAATTCTCCGCCGCGCCTTTTTTATTCCACGTCCCTTTCGGTATTTTAACGACAAACGTTTTCATCTAGGTTTATGTGCAGCGAATAATTTTTCTTCCGCTGAGTTTCGTCCTGCGCCGTACGGCCGCGGTCCCCGATCGCTCACCTCTCCTTATCACGAACCCTGTCGTTATGTTAATTTATTTTTTCATTTTTTTTTCCTGCTCTTGTTTCGGTCTCACGAATAAGACGTACTTTGAACGGTTCGAAATCGAATTGTGTGTAAACGAAGCGTTCGGTTTGGACAGCGTGCGCTGCTTATTATGTGTTTTAAACATAACGATGATATTGTAAAACGCGTGCACGCGTACGATCACGTGTTAACGGACGAACAAATCGTTTTACCTACACTTTTGCGCGCACGCCGTTTACACGTATTGTAAGTGCTTATTAAGATTGTTTAATAACACACACGACCTACGTCAAACGCGTCTTGTTTTGACACTGTTCTGACAGCTTCCGCTGTGTGCGTATTCTGATTCCTTATCTTAATTGCGAATAAAATAATCATCTTAATTGCAAAAAGCACGCGAAGATGAATTATAATTTTTTTTTTTTTTTTAATCATATACCAGTCAACAGAAATTATCGTAGTTATAATTTCGAAGTTACATTAACTCGTGAAATTTATGTTACGTTTTACCACCAAATCAAATGTACATATTAGAAAATTTGTAATGTATGTAAATTCGTTTTTATGTTCGACCATTATAACTTTATGGTTATAATACATTGCATTTGAAGTTAATTTATTCAGAATTATACTTTGGACAGTATTTTATCTAATTTTGTTCTACGTAGGTGTTGCATTAATAATGTGTTTCAACATTTTATACACTTGAAACCGTATATTTTTCTAAAAATAACTGTAAACAAAATGAATAAAATTCGTTCCAAGGTATTTCATATAAAACTGCGTATATCACTGGAAATTAATAATGTATAACTCCGTCATATCGTGATTTTATAACTTGTTGATTACCATCGATTTTTTAATCTTGATTTTGTTCATTCTTTTTTCAATAAAACATTTTAATAGTTAATTGAAATGTATTACGTATTGCGTACTTAAATTTTTAATGGGAAACGTATTAACTAGTAAAATAATCAATTCTTCAGTACCACACGTATACCAATTAAAATCACGTTTATACTACGAGCATAAGCAACTGCGTTGAGATTTATTCGTTTTCTTCTATTATGTTCCATACAAGATCCGGTATAAAAATCGTCCTATAATGTACCTGCGTGAAATTTTTACTCAAAAATACATGTTTTTTATACATCTTTCGGTCCGCTACTGCTTCGGTCTGACCATACGGAATACGAGATTATTGTCTGTCTCTTTTTTGTCCAAGTCAACATTACACAAACATATTATATATTTGAGCCGTTTGTGATTTGGAATGTAACCTGTTTTTGGAATCGCTAACCACATTTTTTAAAATAAAACTGAAACGATGTTTGGTATTATTTCGCTGATAATTCTACGACACTCCACATGTGCGTGTATTATAAAGCCGCATTCTTATCGTTTAGCCCGATCCGGACACCGCCGATCGTAGTACGACATCAGCGACTCGTATTTATTTCGCATGTTTGGTACACAATAACGAGACGTAAAAATGCTAATACGCTGAAACGAAAACCCAATATTTAGAAGTTTTTGAAAACTTAAAGTCGGGTTAAGGTGAAAATGCCCGATAAATTAACGTTTGAAATATTATTCGAAAATATCAGTCAAAGTTGTTTTAACGACAAAAAATGTTCGCAATCAATATTGTTTTTTTCTACGATAATTTTGGTCACTAAATGACGAGGATACGTAATTCATTCCAGAAAAAACGGCGACTCTCTTTGATCAGTATAAATTATATCATATCGGTGAATTTATGACTCAAAATCAGTAGACATTCATCAACTTAACTAACTTAAGGATTTCCAACTCGTTTTAAACGTTAAAAACATTCTTGATTTAATTTAATAAATATTTTGTTTAGTTAGCACGCATTATGTATCGAAACCAAAACGAATTGGTAAACATCATTGTGACCGGAGTTTTGGTAGCGGTTCGATTATTTTTCTAACCTTCGACACGACTGAATTATGGTGGCATAAACCTGCTAGTTCATTGGAACGCTTAACGAAAGTACAACATTTGGAGGTTTTCGACAGCTCTTATTCGGTTTCGAGCGTTTTTCGACGGTAAATGATCCCTTGAATTATTCATCGGAAATTGCGTTCAAAGTTGTGCTGCCGTGACACAAGATTTTACCGCATTAGTATCCAAACCTAGATTAATAAATACATCACTGCGATCGTAGCTGTAATGACGGTTCGATTCTTTTTCAAACACTCGACACGGCCGAGTTTTCGTTAATTTCTCCACTCGCAGACGATATTTTAATAGACACCGCATAATATCAAATGCACTTGTACATCGAGACGTTTTCGACAGTCCGACGTACACCTTCGGAAACCCAAGGATGACCGATGCGCGCACGTTCTTACGGGTGTACGTACATAATAGACGCACCTCTCGGACCTGTGACCTTTTACCGCGCGCTGTGTTATGATCAGTGG